CGTCAACTTAATTGTTGTTATTGGTTCTCTGACATTGGTTCAAGCCTTAACGTATATATATTTATAATCGTAATTATGTCTAGCACGAAAACAAACACATTTATTGTCATTATTTACACCAAAAACTGCTCTTTCTTGTTTTACTGTACCATTTTTTTTTCAAGGAATAAATAATTTCAAAAAGCTAGTTTTGTTTCGAATCTCGCACGAGGGCTACCTGCGCTAGCCTTCACTTATTTAGCAGTGAAAAACTAGAGGAAAGGCAGCTAGTCATCACCAACCACCGCTAACTATTGGGCTACTATTTTTACCAACGAATAGTGGGATTGACCGTCATTTTATAACGCCCCGACGACTGAAAAGGCGAGCATGTTTGGTGTGACGGGGATTCGAACCCACGACCCACAGATTGCGAGTCGAGCACCCTAACCACCTGGCCATGCCGAGCTTGAGGACTTACAACGCTAAAAATAGGGACTTGATACAAGCATTGCTTTGTGAGATTAGAATAATCGAACACGTCAGAAATATGCTACTTTGAAGACAAAAAATATGAAAATTCAAAATTCTAGTGAGTGTAAGCACATAGTTTAATCGCTAGAGGGCATGGATGTACTATTACAGGATTTTTACATTTAAAGGCTTACTCGGACCCGGGCAACATTTCTAGTGGCTTAGTTTTAATACCAGAATAAAAAAGTGAATAGTGTTTGGGTGGTTGTTATTTAGTTTAATAAAAACATACATAAGGAAGGTTACTTTTACTTTATAAGGTGGTTGTTATTTAGGTTAATAAAACATACATAAGGAAGGTTACTTTTACTTTATAAGGTTGTTGTTATTTAGTTTAATAAAAATATACATAAGGAAGGTTACTTTTACTTTATAAGGTGGTTGTTATTTACTTTTAATAAAAACATACATAAGGAAGGTCACTTTTACTTTATAAGGTGGTTGTTATTTACTTTTAATAAAAACATACATAAGGAAGGTACTTTTACTTTATAAGGTTGTTGTTATTTACTTTTAAAATAAAAATATACATAAGGAAGGTCACTTTTACTTTATAAGGTGGTTGTTATTTACTTTTAATAACGGTATGTCTGCGGACTTACAACGCTAGAAACCGGGTTTCGATACCCATGGTTGGCAGAGCACAGATAGCCCATTGTGCAGCTTTGTGCTTAACTTCAAACAAACAAACTTTTAATAAAAACATACATAAGGAGGGTTACTTTTACTTTATAACATGATAGCATTTTGCGGGGCTTATGCAAACTGCGTGCCACTGGGGACACGTTTACCTCCCTTATATAATAACTCACAATCTTTGGACAGTACATTGCCGCCATGGATAATTGTATGCCTGAAGAATAAGGCTACAGATCTTTCCGAGAAAGGATATGCGTAAAACAAAGCAAGAAAAAGACGAAAAGTTCGGGAAACACAAACTTAAAAGACAAAATTATTTATATTATAGTGTTTGTTTGTTTGTAATTAAGCACGAAGCTACACAATGGGTTATCTGTGCTCTGCCCACCACGGGTATAAAAACCCGTATTCTAGCGTTGTAAGTCCGCAGACATACCGCTGTGCCACTGGGGGCAATATAACATATAGTGAACAGCATTGACAAAGGGAGATAACCACATACACATTACTACTGCCGCTACTGTTGTCAAAATTTACAAATTGATCATCCGGGAAATCCAAACCACTCACTCTGAAAGTGGTTGCTAAGAAGTTTCACATGTCCTAGTTAAGTAAAGAAGTAATAACCACAAATACACGCGTTGTTTCCCAGACACGCTGGTGAGAGAAGGACAAGCTGTAGGAAAATATACCAGAGGTCCTCCAGTGTCTCAGCGGTAAGCTTGACGTTTTATAACGCTGAAAACTGAGTTTCGATACCCGTGGTGAGCACAGCACAGAATTACCCATTCAAGCCGTCTCCAGCCATCATTAGTAGTTTATTTGATAACGTTTTAACTACTATGATGTTTTGAGTAAAAACAGTTTTCTATGGTTAAATTTTTAATGAATATGTAGACATATTATGTAGATTCTTGTAATTAAAGTTAATGTGTTAATTTATTTCTTCTTTTTTAATGTTTATCTTATTTCAGAGAATCCTGCTGTCCTAAACTGAAAAGTATTCAAATTCAAGATATAATTTCTTCCGTAAAACTATAGTTTTTTGGATATCACCTATTAATCATCAAAATTATGCAACTTAACTACCGTTAAAGTATCAGACTGAAAAATTAAAATGGCTTTTATGTTTTCATAAATACTGCCGTAAACTTTCCAAGCTTAAATATCCAGCACATTGTCATTATTTTGAGTGAACATCAGATTTAATCAGTAGATTAAATTTTCTGTGGAAAGAAAACTTTTGTACGAACTGTGATGAGAGTAAATTCTGAGTTAGTCTTCATTCTTGTCAGAGTCTTATATAGTGCTTCGTAAAAATAGTATATTTTATGTTATATTCTAATAGCACATATTTGCCCCTGGTGACTCAGCGATAAATCTTAGGGATTATAACGATAAAAGCTGAGTTTTTTCTACACCCGCAGTGGCCACAGCACAGATAACACATTGTGATATATATATATATACACACACACACGTTTATTCTTGTTTCGTTTTTTCCAAAGGCCTTAGCAACTATTACTTTCCAAACTATCCAACACAGTTTCAATATAAGTGATGACCATAGGACAATGGATGATAGCTGCTTGATTATCACAGTTTAGGATGGCTGAAGTTGGTAAAAATGATATCTGGAACATCAACAGTTTGAAAAACTGGAGAAAACTGAGCTGAAAGGCTGTTACGATTCTTGCTTTTCAAGCTATCATGTGGCATTTCATTATGCGACATATTCACCGCAATTAGTGATTGTCATTTGATTTCCTTCACAAGCCTAGACAGTCATGTAATTGAAAAATCAATGGCTGCAAGGAAATAGTGTTCCTTGCTTTCTAATGTATTGAGGGATTTTCTGAAGCAAAATTTCATATGATATTTTGAGGTAACCACTCTCCTGATCTAACTGAGTGTCAAGAACTCTGCTGAGCATGCCACCTGGTCTTTTATGTTCTTCCTCATGCATTTGTATGTTTCTACTTGCAGTGAGAAGTTGTATTTCTTTTAAGTGTATATTAATTTGGGCTGGTGATAATTTTAATTGAAAAAGTCTTAGTTCTGCTGAATTCTGCCAATGCTTATTTATTTTTTGAGACCCGAGTTAAGTTTAATGGTTTCTACATAGCAGCACGTTACTGTATCGTGGCTATTGAGATGTAACATGTTCGAGGTAAGCCAAGATTGTTACTGCAGTACTTAGCATGCAAGCCAGAGGCAGTCTATTTTAAGCTACTAGTCTATGTAATGATGTGTAATTGTAATATATATGTAAGGAAATATATGTCTGTAAATAAATATATGTGTATGGTCTTGCATGCATGTATGAGTTTACATAAAGTAATTCATGAATATTGTGTTGAATAGATGGATCACTTATGCAAAGAACACAATAGCTTAACGACATATGAATGGAAAGGATTTCATTTGGATGTTAACACCTTGTGAAATGAGGTTGACTGTGATTTCTAACTAGGTAAAAGGAATAATAGTAACAAAGAGATTGCCTCCCAGTGGCACAGCGGTATGTCTGCGGACTTACAATGCAAGAAATCGGGTTTCGATACCCGTGGTGGGCAGAGCACAGATAGCCCTTTGTATAGCTTTGTGCTTAACTTCCAACAAACAAACAAAATAAACAAAGAGACTCACATCACGTCTGAGATAAAACAATTTTATCTGGTCTTTTTCTGTAAGAGTAGTACAAGTAGTACAAAATATTTTGATTGGATCGAATTGAAATATTCATGAGTGTGTCAAATTATCATCAGTGAAATGTTTTAATCGTGCAGTTTTCTGAATAATTTTCTTAACATTGTTTCAGTACAATGCAAAATTAAAATGCAAGAAAATGCAGGCTATGAGTGTCCTGTCAAAGGTTTTATGTAACATCCATCTGAAGAAATTTCGTAAATCAAACTTAACTTATACTAAACTTGTGGCTGGAAAAACATTTTGAAGGAGAGATGATGTAAGCATAAGTGGATTCTAATAGTCAAAAGTAGTTTCAATGGGCTATCTGTGCTCTGCCCACCACGGGTATCGAAATCCGGTTTCTAGCGTTATAAGTCGGGAGACCGACCGCTGTGCCACTGGGGGGTCGGATTTGTTTGGTTTGAATTTCGCGCAAAGCTACACGCGGGCTATCTGCGCTATCCGTCCTTAATTTAGCAATGAAATAAGACTAGAGGGAAGTCATCACCACCCACTGCCAACTCTTGGGCTACTATTTTGCCAACGAATAGTTGGATTGACTGTCTCATTATAACGCCCCCGCAGCTGAAAGGGCAAGAATGTTTGGTGAGACGGAAATTCGAACCTGCTACCCTCAGATTGCGAGTCGAGCGCCCTAACCACCTGGCTAGGCCAAGGGGGCAGAAGAAAATGATGTACATCATGATTTATACTGAAGAGAAAATTTCGCCAATTAAAATATTATAACATCAAAGCATGAACTAATAAGTTTATTTGTAAACGTTTCCAATTTGTTTTCATTTTACTGACTAACGCTGCGTTTAGTATTATCGTTATTTTGTAAATTTATAAGGCAGAACAATGTTTTTAAAAAATTTTCATCGAATCTTGACATATATATTTGGATTAGTAAAAAAAGTAAATAATATCATTTCAGAGAAAATGACGCTTAGGGATACATAAAAAGTTTATAATGTCATTTATGTATAATTGATTATTTATAAACATTGCGTATAGCGATTCAAAAAATGTAGAGTGCGCTTTTTTTACTATTAGGCCTTTGTAAATCTTGAGAGTTGACGTTTTATTTGTTTATTTCTATTCAAGTAGGATTAAAAATAAAAGTTAAAATATATATATATATATTATAAGTATAATAAAAAATGAGTTCTATTTTTTTGTTAGGAAGTTCAAAATTTCAAAAGTTGCTGTACTTTTTCGGCTGAATTTGGAGCGTCCAGAGATTAAGAACGCCAACAATGTCTCGGCAAGACTGTCACCAGTCAAGTGTACGAATGGTTGGTTTTGACCCATCAAAAATCCATTGTACACATGGAGCTTTGACCGATTCGTTTGGTTGGTTTGTTCAAGGAGTGTTAGCTGGCTTAGCTTTCACTTGTCTCATACGTAAGTTAAATATCTTAAGTAGTACTAGTAGTATTATGTGCTTGATATTACGTCACAACAAAACAGTTAATTTTAGTGGCCCAATACGGATATCTATTTAGTATTCTAATTTCTAGAACTGTAGAACACTACTCACTACTACTACAAGAACAGTAGAAGTTGAACTTAGTATAATTTATAAGTACTCATCAGACTATTACAGTATACTCTTACTCTTAGTTCAAATGATATTTATAAATTATACCAATATCATTCGGTTATGAGAGAAGTTTACACTCTTGTGACAGTAATGTGAGTCGTATCATAGGGCATATAAGTTATAATTACAGAGTCGGTAGCCTCAATATGTAAGTATGGCCAAGGCACTCAATTGGCATGATACAAATGTGCATGCTATAAAATCAACAATGACAGAAAGTTTTACTTTAAAGGATGGATGCCACTCTCTTTCATTTGCTTCTTTACCCAACAAGGCAAGAAACCTTCGCTAATATATCAAACTAGAAAGTATCCAACCCACAAGTTGTTAATTTTTTTCTTGTTTCAGTTGAGCTAATTCTACAACTACTTTATTACTAATATCAGTTTAAACCTAAACCCACTCTGTGTTCCTGGACAATGCACGATGTCATTGCTTATTCATAATAACTAGTAGTAATTTAAAAAACAACAACATAATTCTAGTGAAAATTTTGCCTTTAAAAAAGCTTAAGTGTACAGGATGGAACAGGAATTACTAACCAGTAATACTAATAAATGAACATTAGATGACTATAACATGTAGAATACTCAATGCTTTGTACACTGTACAATTGGTGTCTTTAGGGAACCAACCTCTTTATCATATATGAAGTGAAGGAATAAAAAAAATCAATACACATAATATTAAGTTTTATTAGAAACATTCATCGAATACACTAACTTTCAGTCAGGGGGGAAAATGTCACAAAACAAGTAATAAAAAACATTTTGTAAATGTAAAACCAAGCTGAGTCAAAACTATTACAGACTTGCCACTAGATTGATCAAATTGACCAACCTCTTAACCATTTGGTACACGTGCATTTTACAGTGCAACATTAAATTGTAATATATTAAAAGTCACGTAGGGATGATCTACGTATAGCTAATCATCCCTGTATTCTTGTTTTCTTTCTTGTTGGCACTGCCATCCCTGCATACTTTTACATTTACAAAATGTTTTTTATTACTTGTATAGTTTAAAAGTTAGAATAACTTAGCTTATATAGCCATACTAGCATGACATTTAGAGTTACTTAGTATTGTATTTATGTGATCTTACATCATAGATATTACACATATTCATATTAATACTAAACATGCTATGCTGAGGTATTCTATACCTTAAAGTCTGTTTTGAAAACAAATGTTATGTATCTTTTTTTGTAATATGAATGTTGTATATCATTAAATTAATAAAATTGTGATTTAGTACAAAGTTTGGTCACATGCTTTCATTCTGTTGTTATTACTCACAAGACTGTGTGAAGTGCATTAATATTAATAACTTCTCATTTATGCTTCTTCAAACTCTGCTTTCTGATTCTTGCAATAGATCATTGTTAAATTTACTTAAGTTTTCTTTCGCTTTTCAGTAGGTGTTCTGTTGTCAATCTTCTTTTTAAAATAGTCTTTTGCACCTTAACTTTTAGCTTGAATTTTGTATGGAAAACCAAAAAAATGATGGTTGCAAAATTGTGTAAAAATTACTCCCAGAGTCTTTTACACTTATATTGATTATCTATATCATTATAGTGTTCATTTCTATTCCCTGTTTTATAAAGTTGAGAATACTCCTCAGTTGGATTATACAAAAAAAAAACTGACTTAGATTTGGGAGACAATCCCCACCTATTATTTTCTATTAGTATTAAATGAGCCTAGAGAATATTTATAAGTTTTGGAAAATGGCTTCTGAATTTCACTGTCCATTATTGTATCATGTTTTTAATGAACTGAAGTAAAAACAAAAATCCAAAAAATTGCCCATAAATTTTCTATTGAAAATGTGCAGTTTTCTTACAGATTAACCTAGAAATTTGTGTAAACACTAATTATTTTATAAATTTATATCATTTTTTTCATTTAAAAAAATATCCTGACAGATTTTCCAGTTTTATTAGAAGTATTTCCATGACTTATTGAACAGTAAGATTTCACTTTTAACTCAGTTAATATACTTATATCTTATGGTCTAAAAAAACAAGTGGGAAATCACTAAGAGTAGTTTTGCTGACTTTGCGATAATGTATATCATGCTATTTCCCCTTTTTTTCCAAATTACATGTATAATAACAATATTAAATTCATTACATGGGAAATGTTTGAATGAAACATAATGTGAAATTCGTAATAACTGTATTACAACAACAACTTGTAACCAAATATGTTATTTCAGCATAGTGGTGTAATAGTGAAGTAAACATTATCTAGTTAAGAGTGTGATTATTAAAGTGTGTAATATTTTTATCATAAACCTTTCTTAGTTGACACATATAAAAATATTCCAGACTTTACTGAAAATAGGAACAGGCATCATTAGCTTCACTGTATGTATGTATATATATATGTGTGTGTATTTATATATTTTTCTTTCCAGTGAAAAGGTTTTGTGAACCTACGGTACACAGAAGGCCTTGGATTATCTGGTAAGCCTACTTCTCTATGCATCTCTCGGTGGGTCAGTGGTTAATTTATGAAATTACATTCCACAATTTCAGGATTCAATTTCCCACAGTGGACACAGCAGGTTGGCCATTGTGGCTTTGCTCTAAAACAAACTTCTCTATGCTAATCTTTTTTCTTCATTTTTCATTTTTGTTTGTATAATGATTTGTAATTTTATGTCAAACTACACTGATGTATTATTTATGAATAATTTTCAGAAAATTTAATTTATGTTTAAGCTTTATCATCATTGTTTTGATTTATGTGTTTTATCTATTTATATTATTTCTGAATTTTAAGTCTTCAACACATTCCTAATGAAAGCCAACCTAAACTTTCCCATTGTTGTCATGATGATTGCTCTAAATTCCCATGATATCATTAAGTATCACTAACTTTCACATCTTTACACTTCCTACACATTGTTAATTCACCCTGAAGAAGTAATGTATACCTTTCAAGAGCACTCAAATTATCAGGTTTCTTATTTAGTGATTTATTTGATTTTTGATCTTTCATGCTTTCTTTGTAACAAGAAAATTTAAGTTAATTTTTATGAAATTTCAAAGAAAGTAATGAACACTTCGATATGTGTAGTTTATGTACTCTAAAAGGAAGGTGCTTCTCTGAGCAACCTGGATGCTAATTTAGCTAGGAAACTAATAGGGAAGAAAATAGGTTCAAGGATTAGTATACCTGTGAGCATATCACCATTGTAGTTTTTACTACATGCAAAGAGAGTCAACATCACAAGGTTTACAAAGTCAGGTTATAATTCCCAAACACCTAGAGATAAATAAGAAAACTAAGTAGCCATTCAGGGTATTTTTTATTTATGGGAAACTTGAATAAATGATATGAGGAGAGAATAATTATAAAAATGTAGAATATCATAATGGATCTATTTTAGAAAAAAATGAGGATTTGGTCTCTTTCTTTTCAAAAATCAGTATTCAAAGATTAAACGTCATAATTTTGGTATAAATGTCAATCTATGCTCCATAGCAAATTCACATTTGTTGTTTTCTTGAAGACAAGATTTCTTACAATGGGAAGGGGGATATCAAACTACAGATTTTGCTGTATAGTTTATTTTTTAGGTATAAGCACAGATATTATTTTAATTTCTTTTTCAAGAGTAACTTTTTGAGATACAGAATTCTAAAAAAGTAAAACTGAAAACAGGAATTTTTATTTGCACCTGTGAAAGAAAAGGAGGACAAGTGGATTTGCATACCAGTTAATAAAGTAATAATGGCCTTAGGGGCTTGAAATTTGCATTTCCTGGCTAACTGGTGTAAATGCACTTGATTGTAATGTTTAGTCATTGGCCATTCAAGAAGCACTGGCATTTTTGGGCTAGTAGATATTTCAGATAAGATTTTGAATATTCAAACCAGTTGTGAATAGTGGTTAAAAGTATTGAAAGAAAAAGCTAGCTGCAAGCACAACTTTATTGTGGAAAACTACACTATGATAACTGATTGATAAGCCTTTTTTGTGTAGCTTCTTGTGAATATTTCAGTGAGAATTCACAAAGTTTAAAATAGCAAGTTCAATTAAAAGTATGAAAGAATAAATGCAATGCTTCATGTAAATTCACCAGTGAAGTGCCTCAGAAGTCAGGCCTTTGCCTTTTCTTGTTTAAATTAATTTATATTGATGTGGGCATAAATAGTAAGTAAGTAAAGTCTGCTGATGACATTAAACTTTTCGATACTTGGGGATCAATTGGTACATTTAACAGATATTTAGCAAATGAATTTTAATTATAGTAAGTGGTAGGTAATGCATTCAGTTATCATAATTTGGATCACACGTTTAATCTAAATGTGTGAGTGAGAGAAAGGATCTTTGCATAGTATTGGATAGGGCACTCAAGTCATTGAAGCAGTGCTCTGTTACTAGTATTAATGCTAAAATAATTTTAGGGTGTATTTATAGACATGTTGACTATAGTCAAAAGAGGTAATTATCTCTATACAAATCACTAATTATGCCTTGCTTGGAAGCTGTACACAGTATTCCAAGTGAGTATTTTAAGAAGTATTCACTTAATGGAAAGGATTCAGAGGAGAGCCACTAGGATGATTCTGTAGATGGAAGCATTATCTTAAGGGATAAATTAAGATCTCTTAACATATTTCCTTTTGAGATAAGAAGGGTAAGAGGTGATTTTGTTGAAGTTTATGAGATCATCTAGAGAATTGATATTATTAAAGCCTCTGCTTTTTTTGTGCTATATTCCATAATCAATAAGGCAAGAGGATACAAGCTTAAGATTTAGAAAAGACAGTTTTATGTTTCTAACAGGGTGACTGACTTATGGAATGAGTTGTCATCAACAGTAATGGAGGCAAGCATAAAGGAATTTAAGAAGGGAATCAATAACTTCCCGAAAAATAAAGGGTGGATTTAAATTTATCTAAAGGGTAGGTATGCAAAGACAGCACTGAAGGATCAAGTGGTCCATCATTATCTGTATTGTATGTCAGCTGGCTAGTTATATCTATTAAGAGCATTCAACTTATGATTTATTATTATTATTATATATATTTTTTTTTGGCTATCATGGCTGGCACTTTTGTAAGCAACTTTTAAAGTTAGTTTCAAGTCCTCTCCTAAGTCATTCTGTGAAGCATATCTTATGTTTGTATATCTTGCTGGACTTCTGTGTTTTATTTTTTGGTTTTGCATATATATATAATTGCTTTTCTTTACATCGACAATACTCATTCATAAAATATGAAACATATTTGCTCATAATACCAGTTTTCATTTCTGACATAAAAATTCATGATAAAGCATCTGTTTTCCAGCTTTACACAGGTACAAATCTTTATTTCAGTAAGAAATTGTTGAATTTAGAGTTGTTGTTGAAGATGGTTAAAGGTCATTGCTAGACAATCAAGACATTTTTTCTTACTTCTATCTAGCTTTAAAACTTCTAAGAAAAAAACAAGTGTTAGAATCACTTTTTTTATCTGAAAGTTTATGAAATATATCTAGACTAGTTACAACATGTAAAACATTTTTAGTGGTTTTCATGCCCTTCACTTGAGTTTTCCTTATTCTATCATTTTCACACACACCATTTAAGCTACACTTTCTTTCAGGCGTTGTGTTATATATCAATAAATTCTTGTCTATTTGAAAAAAATTTAGAAGCCATACAAACAAGTTCACGTAGACATAATTTTATTTAATAAAACTATACATACATAACTTTATTTAATGAAACTACACATAAAGTAAGCAATAGAGTAAAGTAATGATATTTATAATAGTGTACAAAGTATGAAACAGTCATGAGTGTTCAGTTTATGACACGGTTTTACTAAGTGAAACAAAGAAACTCAAAAATGAAGAATAAAACCTGTAGTAAAGAAAAAATATCTGAAAGGTTTTTATAGCAGTCTATGAAATGAACCAAATCTAAATTATTGCAAATTAAAGTAAATGTAAAGTTGTAATGAAGGCAAACTTAAATGAATATGCAGAAACATCTGAATGCATGTTCACAAATTGATAAGCATATGGTTTTGAACGAACTGCGCATGCATATTTTAGACCTAAATAAGTCGAGAAAAACCACAGAAATTGTATTTAGTGTAATGTTCATTTTTTTTAGGAAATTAAAGGTAGATTCAATGTTATTTGTGTGAAATGGCTTGCAAATAAAAAAACTAAAGTTGAAATCAAAGCCAGTCATCATGTGTTAACAATAACATTATGCCATCATGTACCATACTCATTGCATTGAAAAGTTTGACTATATAAAAAACAGGTAAGGTGATTCTGAATTGAAAAGCCAATAAGCAATCTGGACTCCTTGCACAAAGGCCCTTCTAACAACATGAGATTTCTAGCATTTAATCGAGAAACTTATGAGAAAAGTTCTGGACAGACAAACTCAAGTGTATTATCTATATAGATTTATTCTCAAATTTGGAGCTGAAGTGGCAAAAATAGATTATTTATGATTTAATCTTTCTACATTATTTATCCATTACATTTCTCTAAAGCATTGAGATTAAAAGCATATTATTAGTCACATGATTTTACAAAATAGAAATTTTAAATTGAGTTATGATCTTCCACATAAAGATTTTCAGAAATCCTGAGCTCAATTTCAAAACATTATGGGTTACTTGACATTCATCTTCCTGAGTTTAACAGCATATAACAAAATCCCTATAAAAAGAACTTCATGAAAGTTAACTGAGGGTTCATGGAATAGGTGTGTGGCATTCTATACTATTAGTACAACTGGAATGTAAGTTTTGATAATGATTTTTATTTTGTAGGTTTTATGACACATCAAAGCAAGGTCTTGGAGCTCTAGTCATTCATTTTGCAAATGTGTTTCTGGCTGAATTCTTCCATGGAGATCCATGTACTTGGTATGTTTAACCCTTTCATATGTAGTTTTAACATGGCTTATTTATTCCTTTTATATTCAGTAACATTTATTGTTTTGCAACTTATAAATCAAGATGTATATAATTCCAAAACAATAAATGAATAGGAAATTTAACAGTTTAAACTTTAATATCTGATCTTAATGATATTTGTAAATAAAAAGTCATTGTATTTTTTTACCTTGTATTTGTACTGAAATATACTTCTTGAGAACTTAAACATGAAGATGAAATAATTTATTATACAATTAGAATATTTTGTATAAGAACAAAAATAACTAAGAAATAATAAATTTCAAAACATACATACCTTCACTCACACTTATAACTATTACTTGACTGCCATGGTTTCATTTTTGCCCATCTAAGCATTGGTCTGATTTTTTCTCGCTTGCTCCAGTCTTTTATACCCCACTCAGTTGCCCTTGGCAATATATGTCTCGTGATACTCTCCACCTACGTCAATGTGCCCTCTATCCTGGTACTGCATATAAGCACCTCATTCAGATAATGTAATTACATCTTCTCTTCAAAACATCACTAATGGGTTTCCCAGTGCTACGATCGCTCGTAGATACTTTTAATGTTATTGTGTTATCTAATTGATTTTGTAACAATAATAATCATTTGAAAAAAAAATTTTTTCTCTTCTGATTGGCAAGCTGATTATAGTATGAATTCCCAGCACGGAGGTCAGTTATTCATAGTGAGATGGAGACATATACTCTGACCTGTGGTGGTCCCATGGGGGACTTTGAGGGTGATCCTCGACATTTTGGAAAGACTTTGAATTCCCTTTTTCCTGTGCCTTCTGTTAATCTGTTGGTTTTTTAGCCCCCCCTTTGGGCAGTGGTAAGTTTAAGGACTCGCAGTGCCAGGGTTCAATTCCCTAGGGTGGATGCAGCAGGTGGCCTGCAGTTGCTTTGCTCTTACAAAACAACTTACTTTACTTCACAAGATGTTGTTCCAATTAATGGTAATCACCACGATCTTTAAATGACCTATGAAAAACGAAAAGGAGACCACTTTGGGATTAACTGCCTTTGATTTGTTTTTCTTCTGTTGGTTCTTCGAGTGTGTGATGTTTTTGGCTTTTGATGGCTGAAAGGTCTGGGAGCAATTTTTTTTTTTTTTTTCATACATGGAAATTGTTGTTCATGATGGAAGGCTTACTTTTTTGTTACATGAAGGGACAGTTAGGCTTTATCTAACACATTGTTGGAACTTCGTGATTTTGCCTTCCACCATCAGGTGGAGGCATTTTTCCAACTCTCAAATAATTTCTGCTCCTCAAGTTTTAAGGCAGAGTTTGTAGTTCACCTATATAAGTCTTTGTCCCCAGATGGGACAGAGTAAGTCTACAGACTTACAATTTTATTCAGCATTTTATTTCATTTCTCTTTCTTAGAAGACTCTCAGGATCACCAGTTTCATTGAGGACAAGCTGGATCCATTGTTAGCATGTATGATGATTCAATTTTCAGCTTCTACATTCCTTCTGGTTGTTGTTAGAGTTTCTTTTTTCATAGGCTCCTACAGATGGGGTCATAGTTCCACCCCTATTCATGAGTACCTATCCCTGACATCAGCTTCTTGGTACATTGGAACTCAGAATAGATTCTGTCTATTCAAAGTTTTCACTGCTTAGTCAGATTGCCAGCAACATCGGTGACTATTGTATACCTTCAGGTGCTGTGGGGCTCACTTCCAAGATTTTTGTATGTGTGGTACTCTTGCCCATCGGTCCAGAAGCTCTGCAAATCCTTGAATCGCAATTGGTCATTCAGTTCACATCTTCTCCACTATTATCCACCCAACCTGTAGGGTTTCAGTCTCCTGCAGTTCATTGGGATTCAAAACTTAGCTCTAGGGTTATCTGAGTCTGGTTGGCCTGAGGGTAGAGAGAGAGTCAGGTTAATTCTTCAAAGTTTTAATTACTGTTAGTTGTTAAGCCTATGAAAACATAAGATTGGGGTTGAGATTATCGGTGGTTCACAAGTTAATCATTCCTCAATCTGTGTTGATTTTTTTTAACTGGGATTATAGATGTCCAACTTGGTTGTAGTTGGCTCTTATCTGCACAAGGGCCAGGTACTGCAGTTCTGGGTTTTTCATTTGGCTTCGCATAGGATTAACATTGGTTCTGTTGTATTGTATAAGTTTTCTTGTTTCATTCATTCCATCATACTGTGCACACACCATTCCATGGATGACTGGTTACTGCTGGTAACATCTCATCAATTGTTAGACCATAGACCATCACATCCTGATTCTGCTTTCAGATAAAACTGAGGCCGGCTTCCTTTCAGGATTGTGACATCTATTCTTGCTCCAATTTGACATGTGATCAGTCTGGGTATTTTTATTTTTCATCTCATCTCTCAGTCTTGCTCAGCTGTCTTCCATCTTGCTCAATACTGCAGAATAGGATGCTACACACTTACTCACCTCTCCTTCTCCCACTGTACAGATGGTTCTGCTGGAATGTGGACATCACTTGAATCCTTCGTGCCTTTGGGATGAGAACACAAGCAATCCTTTTATTGGTTTTTAAGTGACCAGGAATTGTACACTTCTATTTCTGGGTTTCCCAAGTTTCCTTAGTCTGGATCATTCTTTGATCTCAATGGGAAGTTAAGTTGGGATGCTACTACAATTTGGGTTCCTTTACTGCCACCTTGTCCAGAGCTCCATTCTCTTTACGAGTGCCTTGCTTCAGGGATGGGGTACATATACTACCAGTCAGGAATTCCAGAATCTATGCAAGGATGATGAGGATTCCCTACACAATGTTTTCATCCTTCTTGCTCTTCAATGGGCATGGTCTCATGGTCTGGGCTCCTTAAGGGGTAACTCCTCAGGCTTTACTCTGACTTTTCCATGGTGGTGTCTTATGTTTCTCATCAAGGAGGCATGTGGTCTAGGGCTTCTTATTTTTGAATCTTGGACCTCCTGATTCCTCACATTGTTTTAGATAGTTAGTCCCAAATGACCATTCCAGTTACCAAGCAGGTAGATTCAGGATACATGTTCTTTATCTATAATTATTTGTGCCCTGAATCTTATATGTCATGTATCCCCTTTACCTGCAGGTCTATTTTTTGTAGCTGCTGACCTATGGACATTACCGGTCAGAATGAGTTGTGCTATTTCTCCACAGACCACTTTCTCACTCTCTCTACATCCTCAGTTTAGTTCTTCTTGCCCAACACACTGTCAGACAGGAAAGGGGTTTCAGTCCTTTTCTGCAATTCATCTGCTCACTCTTTCTTTCTGTGTCCAATCAGATTTTGATATTGGTCATGTTTAGTGAGGGTCTTGAAGGTTTTGTTGTCCACATTTATACCTTTAGGGATGCTAGACAACACTTTATTCTGAGCTCTCTTTGAAGGCTAGTTATCTTCTCTGTTTCACATTTAATCAGATGTCCTTAGCAGTCCGGTCGAATTGCCTGCTGGAGGTCACTCTGCGGACTGGTATGTGGACCTTCCCCAGTACCTTCATCTCACATTATTTGCCTAATGTGACAGTATCTTTAGCTGAGGGTTTTTGCCTACCCCCTGTAGCTATCTTAACTATTTCTGCTAGATTATTCCAGCGAGGTATTTTTCTTTCTATCATTCACCGTCCCTTACTTTATTTTCATAGGATCCCACTCTATGGCAAGTGTTGCCCAGACAGGTGTGCTTTTATCAAACCAATTCCTCGCTAGCAACCCCTATTTCACTATAATTACTACTGGTTGCAACAGGCTCTGTATATATGAGGTGTTCCATAACACCACTTAAGAGCCTACTAGGTAATATTACCTTATGATATTGGACTGCCACTCATGAACTATCATGAGTAAAGCTAAAGGAGATCCTGCCCATCCCTACCAATTGTTGGATTGAATAAATCAGGGTCAATTTGCTTTTAAAAATTTAGGGAACTTGGTTTGCCTATTGCACTGTTTCCAGAGCTCTGTTCCTCAGGACTCTCCATTGAGCATTACCCCCCAGATTTTACTAGTGGAGCTAGGTAGTCCTTGCCACACCTGGTTTCCAGACACTGTGTTGGTGGACAGAAGCTTTTCTTTCAGAGTGTTAGAGTGAATTCCTCTGCTCTTGGACAAGAAGGCGAAGTTGGGGTTGGCCTATACTGATGATCGCTCATGTACAATCCCACCCTTGATACAGGACCTAAATTCTGGATGAAGAGCATACCTGTTCTGGATGTAGTGTAATTCCCCCACTCACGAGACGTATATTGCCAAGGGCAATTTAGAGGGGTATAAAAGACTGGATCAAGCGAGAAAAAGTCACATCAATGCTTTAATGAATAAAGTCTTCCGGATATATCCGGAAATCCAGATATTTCTAAAAAATCCTGAAAACCTCTGGTTTTCTTCCGGAGAAACACATTTTTTAAAATTATTTATCGGATTTTTGTGTTCTATGCCATAGATAAGCGTTTATGCAATCGCGCGGTTTGTTTACATTCGGCGACAGGGCGCCGCCATTTTGTAGTCTTGCAATGCTTGCTGCCGTGTACGAGACCTTGTATGCTTATAATGCAAACTTCGTGTTATGTGAACGAGATTTTATCTCAAACGTGCTTTAGAAAACGTGGTCATTCTTTTGTGTACCTTTCTATTGAGCGAGACAATTGAAGAGCCTTAACTATTCAAAGGTGTTTACCGAAGAGATAGTAGATCAAATGAAATGTACAAACAAGTAGATAGGTCGGCGGATATCAGTAGCATAGAAGAAAAGGTAAATAACAAGTTTAAATGGTCGTGGCTGGAGGAAAAGGATGTAAATGATGAC